TGCACAGGCGGGTCTCGAACCTGCAGGCTCAGGCAATTCACTCACCTCAGCCTCCCAAAGGCGCGGGATTACAGGCTGAGCCACTGAGCCTGGCAGTTCAATATATTTTTAAGTTTCTTTTGTGATTTCTTCTTTGAAATGTGTTGCTTAATCTCCAAGTATTTGGGGGATTTTCAGCTATTTTTCTGTTATTTATTTATTTTTAGTTTAATTCCACTGTTACTTGAGAGCAGATATTGTATCATTTCTATTTTTAAAAAAACTTGTTAAGATGTGTTTTATGGCTCAGAATGTGGTCTATCTTGGTAAATATTCCCTGTAAGCTTGAAAAGAATGTGTAACGTGCCACTGTTGGATGAAGTAATTAATGATGTCAATTATATACAGATGACTGATAGTGCTGTTTGGTTCAACTATTTCCTTACTGTTCTTCTACCTGCTGACTGTCTATTTCAGATAGCTGGTGTCAAAGTCTCCAACTATAATAGTAAATTCATCTATTTTTCATTGTAATTCTATCCGTTTTTGTCTCATATGTCTTGATGCTCTGTTGTTAGGCATACATAATAATTAGTTATTATTGGCCCATTTATCATTATGTAATGCCCCTCTTTATCTGATACATTTCTTTGTTTTGAAGTCTGCACTGTCTGAAGTTAATATATATGGTCTGACAATTAAGTTCGCAAACTCATCCCAGAAAAGTGCTACATACCTCATTCCTGAATATCACTATGGTCAACTTTGAAGTACTCCCCTTGGGAAACTAGGCACTGATGCCTAGTTTACCCATCAAAGCAATTTTGGAACTCTTTTTCTGGAATGACCAACAGAGTTGTCATTATATTACTCTTGATGTCCTAAATGTCATCAAAATGTCTTCCTTTCAATATTCCCTTTATATTCAGGTAAAGAAAAAAGTCATTGGGGGTCAGATCAGGTGATTTGGGGGGGTGTTCCAATAGTTATTTGTACAGTGCTGCCAACATAAATGAATGGTGGCAAGTTAGCAAACTTAACTGTCATACCTCAACAAATAACGACAGCTCTGATGGCCATTCCAGAAAAACAGTTTCAAAATTGCTCTGAGGGGTAGACTAGGCACTAGTGTTGGTGCATAGCTTCCCAAGAGAGGAGTATTTCGAAGGTGACCAGTGATACTCAGCAATGCAGTATATCGCACTTTTTCTAGGATAGCATGCAAACCTAATTGTCAGACTTCAAAGTTACAGGTGCTTTCTTTTTAGTATTAGCAAGGTATGTCTCTCTCCATCCCTATACTTTTAATCTATATGTAACTTTATATTTTTAGTGGGTTTCTTATAGACAACATATAATTGGGTCTTGTTTTTTGATCCACTCTGAAAATCTCTGTCTTTTAATTCATGTATTTGGATCATTAAGTTTAAAGTAAATATTGACACAGTTGGACTAATATCTGCCATATTTGTTATTTTCTATTTGTTATCCTTGTTCTTTTTGCCTTTCACACTTTTTCTGCCTTTTGTGGTTTTAACTGAGCATTATCATGCGAATCTATTTTTCTCTTTCTTTGCATATTAATTGTATTTCTTCTTTTACTTTTTAAATTGGTTGCCCAAGTCCACTTTCAAATAACATTAAAGGCCAGGTTCGGTGGCTTACAACTGTAATCCCAGCACTCCGGAAGATCTAGGTGGGAGGATCACTCGAGCCCAGGGGTTCGAGACAAGCCTGGACGACAGAAGTCTACCTCATCTCTACAAAAAGTCAAAAAATTAGGTGGGCATGGTGGCATGTGTCTGTAGTCCCAGCTACCTGGGAAGCTGAGGCAGAAGGATTGCCTGAACCCAGGAGATGGAAGCTGTGGTGAGCTGTGATCATTCTACTGCATTCTAGCTTGGGCAACAGTGTGAGCTCCTGACTCAAAAAATAAAAAAAAACACTATACTGGCTCACAGGTAGTGCAAGTACCTTATAATAAAAATATTCCTAACTTCACTCTCCATTTCTTCTATTATTGCTGTCATTCATTTAACTTATACATAAACATAAAATATATATAAGCATGCCTAATTGAAGCTATCATTGCTTTTATTATTTTAAATAAACTGTTATCTATTAGATCAACTGAGTATAAGAAAAATAATTTTTAATTTTACTTTCACTTATTCACAACTTGATGCTATTCCTTTTATTATGAAGATCTAAGCTTCTAACCTGTATTATTTTCCTTTTCTCTGAAGATCTTTTAGCATTTCTTGCAAGACAGATCCACTGGCAAAAAATTCTCTCAATTTGTTTGTCGGAGAAAGCCTTTGTTTCGCCTTCATTTTTGAAGGACGATTTCACTGGCTACAGAACTCTCGGTTGGTGGGTTTTTATACTCTCAACAATTAAATACGTCATTTCACTTACAAATTACAGCAGTTTGCCCCTATACCCCTTCTCTGACAGACCTAAGAAGAGCTGCTGATTTTTCAGTCTGTTCAGGCTTTCACTTGTTGTTAGGATAGATTGGCAACTTCTAAGCTCCTTATATGCTGAAATTAAACCTGGGAGTCTAATGGATGCTTTTTAACATTTGTTTGGACTCTTTTTCTCTAGTGTGTAATTCTGGATCATTTCTATTGCTATGTCTTCAAATTCATCTGCAATATCTAATTAGCCATTAATTCCATCCAACATATTTTCTTTTTTTTTTTTTTTTTTTGAGTTGGAGTCTCACTCTGTCGCCCAGACTGGAGTGCAGTGGCCGCTCCCGGCCACCACAGCCTCGACCTGCTGGGCTCCGGCGATCCTTCTGCCTCAGCCTTCCAAGTAGCCGGAATTACAGGCATGCGCTACCATGCCCAGCTGATTTTTTGATTTATTGTAGAGATGAGGTCTCGCTGCCCAGGCGGATCTTGAACCCGCGGGCTCAGGCAATCCACTCACCTCAGCCTCCCAAAGGCGCGGGATTACAGGCTGAGCCACCGAGCCCGGCTTCATCCAACATACTTTTTATCTGAAACATTTTATTGTTTTCATCTCTAGGTGATTTGAGTTTTAAATATATTTTTCCACTTCACTTTTTTCACTTAACTTTCTCCACTTAACTTAAATGGAGAGGTTAACATCTATCCATCTAACTTTTTGAACATTGATAATACAGTTAAAATAACTATTGTCATGCTCTTGACTGCTAATTCTATACTTATGAGATCTGGGTTGGCACCTGACTTTTCTCCTCATTTTGGGTTGTGTTTTACTGCTTATTTATCTACCAGAATGTTTGACTGGATAGTAGATATTGCAAATTCTACCTTGTTGGATGCCTGATATTTTTGTATTCCTGTATAAAGTCTTGAGCTTTGTCTTGGAATGCGATTAAATTATTTGGAAATTAACTGAGCCTCTGAGGGATTGCTTTTATGATGTTAGGCAGGTCCGCAGCAGTGCCTATCAAGGATTAACTATCCCACAACTGAGGCAAGGTCCTCCCAAGCACTCTACTCAATGCACTATGAATTATAGGTTTTCAAATCTGGCTTGGGGAACAAGCACTGCTCCTGGCCATGTGTGAGTGCCAGTCCTCTCCTCTTTAATCCTCCAAGATTGCTCTTGCCCTGATCTTGGCAGTTTCCTCAGAAATGAGCACTGATCTCTGCTGGACACTTGAAAGGGATCCTCTGTAGGGTTCCGGGAGCCGGGAGTTGTCTCCCTGTGTAGCTCTCTTCCAGCATGTGCCCTCTGAACTCCAGCTGCCTTGGGATCCTTGTGTGAAGACAGTCCTAAACTGAGCGGCCCACTGGTCTCTATCTAGGTTTCTCTTCCTTGTGCCACTGTCTAGAAGCTTTCTTGCAGCAGTCAGCTGGGGCAATGGTAGGACTCCCTTCATCTGTTTACTGTATTTCAGAGTCACTATTTTTCATGGTCTGATGTCCAATGTCTTGAAAACTATTGTTCATGCATTTTGTCTGTCTGGGGGTTATTTCAAGTGAGTGGGTAAGTCTCGGTCCTGTTACTCAATTCTGTTTGAAAGCAGAAGTCCTGCATCTCTTTTTAAATGAAAGATTTTTCTTTAGGGAGGAAGTCACAGGGTCACACTTGGGCTGGCGCTGATCCACCACCCACCTTTATTTACTTTTCTCTTCCTCACTCACTTACCCCAGTCATACTGGCTTCTTTCTGTTCCTCCCGGCCATCAGGCTCATTTTCTCCCCCTGGTCTTTGCTCTGGCATTGCCTCCACCTGGAAATCTCTCCTCTCTGATCTCCACATCCTGAGTTCCTCTCTCACAGAGGTTGCGACTGACCATGCAGCCATTTGCTACCAAGTCATTCTCTTATTATCTTCGTAGCACTTATTATTGCCCATAGTGATTCTATCCATACATTTACTTAATAATTCATTGTCTATTTCTCTTCCATCCCACACCGACTCCCAATAGAATAGAAGATGAGGCCTTATACACTGTGCAGAAAAACCTGCTTGGCCATATAGTAGGTAGGTAATCAGAGATAGGAAAAGTAAATGATTATCAGCCTTGCCTGGAAATCCGTAATCTTTCTTTCTCAAAGAAATTACAACTGTACTGCACATTTATTTGTCTTCTCCCTTTATCTGACTAACGGAGGGCAAGGAGTGGGGTAGGCAGTGTGTATGCAAGTATGTGTCTGCATGCGTGTGTATGTGTGTAGTTGTGCAGAACAAACCTTATCTGCTCGGCTCCAGATGGCTTTAGGAGGTGGTTCTCCACTGACGGGGATCTCAAGACGAAGTTTGTTTCCTGCAATCACTGTCACTGTATTGTCAGCATCAAGACCATCCAGGATGATCTTAGGAGGATCTGGAATTTTAAGCATGGCCTTTCTTATCAGACAGTCATCTCTGTGTGAATATTTGGGCTAATGCTTAGCTAGTATGTTGGTAGTAACCAATATTTTATCTGGTCAAAAAAGAATATAAGAGGAGTCGAGGCAGTTGATGTCTAGCACCTTGCAAAATGATTTCATTGTCAGACTTAAGAGTTAACTATTTATGATTAGTGATTGATACCAACTGAGCTTTTGGAAATACCACACAGTTTGGAGCAATGACTTATTTTATCTACTCACCAATAACATGAACTTTGGCAGGCAGAGTAACAGTGTAGGCATCTGGTGCAAATACATAGTCACCTTCATCTTCAATAAGAGCATTGGCTATCACTAACTTGTGGATTCTAAGGAAACAGGGAGAACATATCTTAAAGACTCTGCAAAGATTTAGATTACCTATGTCTATGAAGCCTTAATTATCCTGTATATTGATCCAAATTAAAAAACTATTTTGGACTATATGGAATTAGTTCTACAAATACAATCTGCTTAATATGAATGCAAGAGTCTATTATTCCCTTTTCATCTCATAGCTTTAAAAAGGCTATAACAGAACAAATCAATGATGCTATACTTTAAGATTCAAGAGACTGCCAGTAATCTTGATTTGGGCTTTATATGCCAAACCCTAAGATAAATCATTCTTGAATTCACTGGGGTCAAAAACCAGTGAATATCTGATAGACACTGTGGATTCTTTCTGTGTGGAAAGTGTATCTTTTTGTACACACAGAATTTTCTCCTGATTTCAGAGCATTTATTGAGTTCCCTGAAGTCCATGTATGATATCTTCAGAGTCCATGGATCCAAGGTGAAAACCCTTGCCTCAGATCCTTGCCAGATTCTAGAACACTATAGCCCCCCCAAAAAAGATGTGTAGGAGGGTCATGTGACACCTATTAGTTGGAGACAGTTAATCCATTTGACCAGGTCCTCAACTAGAATTGTGTCTTTCCTCCAACTTCATGTTTAGATGAGGAAGAGCAGCCGATGGGATTTGAAAAGACAAAGCACCATGGTGTGAGGTGCAGATCCCAAATGGGGAGCAAGTCCTGCTGGACCCACAGAAATCACAGGGTCTGGCCAATGAGAAGCCAAGAACTGGAAACCGATCCTCTTCCAACAGCTCCTCTCCAAACATCCTCATCAAACATGTAATCTAGAAAGGGGGTTGGACCAGCCTACATGGTGGGCAGCTGGCTTGCTCACCTGCCCTTGTGAACCACCTTGAGACGGTCACTCTCCTGAACAGGTAGGCCATTTTTAGTCCATTTTCCTGGTATGTTTTCAGAGATTTCACACTTCAAGCAGATTTCCTTTCCAAGTTTTACAGTCTGATCAGTCAGAGGTGTCAAAATCTTCAGAGGCTTCACTACAGAAATCACAGACCATCACAAGTGCCAAGTCCAAACTCCAGACAGGCCAAGATAGTGACATTTCACAAAGGTGCAGTTAGCTCTGCTGTAATGCTTATGTTGAAAGTAAGAATTTGTACCAATGCAATTGACTTATTAGAGGATGTTACATGTTTGATTATATGTTATTTCCTACCTTAGAAAAACTAGGTGAATGCAGAAAACTGCACTCAGTCAAATGGAGCTAGGACTGCATAAAACACACACACCTAAAACATCTCTCAGTGACCCAGTTCAACTATCCATCTGACTTCAAATAACCCCTTTTCTATTACTTCACAATAGCTCACAAGCTGCAACACTGCTTCCACAAGCAGATAATTATTGTAGTATTTATCAACCATTGAACAAATGTAAAACTGTGCTACTGTTATTTATTTGTTCGGTTTTCAACATTTTAAAAATTGTGTCACTGACAAAGTTCTCCAGTAGTGCCCATACTCTCACTCCCCCTATAAATCCTGTGGGTTTGTTTTTGCTTTTGTTTTTGAGACAGCGCCTTGCTGTAACCCAGGCTAGAATGCAGTGGCTATTCATAGGTGTGATCATAGCTCACCGCAACCTCAAACTCCTGGTCTCAAGCAATCCTCCCTCCTCAGTCTCCTGAGTAGCTGGGACTACAGATGTACACCAACACACCCAACTAATTAAAAAAAATTTTTTTTGCAAGATGGGTCACACCTGTAATCCAAGCACTTTGGGAGGGTGAGGTGAAAGGATTACCTGAGCCTAGGCATTTAAGACAAGCCTGGGCAACAAGGTGAGACCTCATCTCTACAGTATATCAAAAAAATCAGCTGGTCATGGTGGTACACGCCTGCAGTCCCAGCTACTTAGGAGGCTGAGGTGGAAGAATCACCTGAGCCTAGCATAGCCTAGTAGCTGTGACCATACCACTGCACTTCAGCCTAGATTACAGAGTGAGACTCCAACTCAAAAATAAAATTTTTTTTTTTTGCAGAGACAGAGTCTCGCTATGTTGCCAGGCTGATCTCAAATTCCTGGCTTATGTGATCGTTCTGCTTGACCCCCTCCCCAGTGTGCTGGAATTAGAGGTATGAGCTACCACACCCAGACAACACTGTGGCTTTTATTGCATGACTTTACATCTCATAATTGTTTTTAGAAATGAATATGTTATATTATATCAGAATTGACCCTAATTGCTTTAAATGGATACAAATATCAGATAAGGATCTGCCCATGCTGAAGAACGTTTGATGCTTAACTAAAATGGCACAGTTTCACAAAGCCTAAGAATTATACGGGGACTGCTCTTGAATAATTCAATGATTATGTGGATTGTAATTGAACTGAACGAAATTTCTGCTCTAATTATATTACCAATCATCCTGGGATATTTGCTATGCTAATTTTCATGGCAAACTGCAACCAGTGCTGCCATTGATAACTGACTACCAGAGGACACCTGAGGAAGTACGTCACTTCTCTCGTGCCTCTGAAGCTTCTTAGCACTTACAATCTTCTCAATTGAGCCCCCTTAGTCTGAATTACTTTCTTCTCATCCCAAATGTAATTTCAGGATGTTGAATGTTTATGCAGTGATTAAATGGAAAACAGTGTCAGAATTGGATCTCATATCTAAGTATTAGCCACCCATTCATAAGGTTTTAGGATTATCGCCATTTGGGTAACTTTCCTGGCAGATGATCATACACTTCCTTCCCAGTACTGGTGCTCTGCTGCTAGGATGAGTAGCAGGTTCCTTTTTCAGAGAAAGCTGATCTGACATGGACACTCAGCTAGAATGAAATCCATTCTGTATACTTAAAATTATTGCAAAGAGAAATCAAATAGATGGAAACTTGCCTAAAACTGGACTAGCAAACGAGCCAAAAGATGTCCCAGGAAGTTTACTCACGGTCAACACTCAGCTTAGCAGATGACTGTCCCCCTGTTGTCATGACAGAATATTCAGCAGTGTCTGCTTTGGTTGCTCCTTCTATCACCAGAAAGTGTTTTTTGCCATCAACTCTAATTTTGTATCTTGATTTTGGACCAGGGATGATCTCTTCACCATTCTTAAACCTGAGTTGAAATAAATTACAAGAAAGTTTTGTAAAAGATCCTTCAGGACAAAGACCTCGCGTGCTAATTCTACTTTCTCTCCACAATGTCCCTTGTTGAAGACAATCACAATGTCTTGCAGAACTTTGGGCAGATACTAGGTACACAAGAACTACCTGCTGAATTTAAAGATGCATGAACAATCCCTCTGCCAGTACAGTCATACTGAACAAGCACTACCTGTAAACTTATGTGAAGAGAACACGAGCCTTCTCTTCTCACTCAAGGCCAACCCACACAGCTTCTGAGAGTGACTGTGACTTCCTCTGGGCTACTGATGCAACCTCGCAGGAAGAATGTCATTCGATGCAGTTTAAAGATTAATCATGATTCTACATGAGATTGAACAATCTATCGTGTGCCAACTACCTATAAATCCTGCTGTGTAATTTATTATAATTTTCAACATAACATTTCATTTTAAGATTTAAGTCTTTTTTAATTCTGTGGTTACTCACAAGGAACCTGAGAAAACACTCCCCACCTGACTCCCCACTCCCCAAGGAAAAGCTCTTGTTTTTAAAAGCAATCAGTGATTCTCAGTCTAGAATATATATATTTTTGCAGTACTACAACAATATAATAAGTATGGATTTTTCATATAAATGAAAAATATATATCAACATATTTCTTCCTGACAGTGGCCAGCAGCACATGAGAAGTTGTAGAGGTTAAGGGTGTCTGTGGCTTCAGAGTCATACGGCCCTGGGCACACCTGAGTCATCCATCCATCAGTCACTTCCCAACATGTTTATCTGTACGGACTTCTAGATCTCTTTCAGTCTCACAGGTGGAAAACCCCAGAATCTTAGTATACTTTTAGTTATCATCTCTGCTGACACACATGAAGTTGAGATTCTCCTCACATGTTTAAAAGCGATTTGTATTTCCTGTTCTGTCAACTATGAAGGTGCATTTTTTGTCTATTAAAAATGGACAGACCTCAGGAGGCTACTTACCATTTCACGTTGGCATCGTCTTCAGACACCTCACATTCTAATTCCACTTTCTCCCCACAATAAGCATTTGTATCTTCCAGCTGCTTGGTCACCATAATTGGAGGTTCTAGTACAAAAAAGGAAAAATCAGAATCATTAACCATCCAAAGCCTGCATATGAGCCCTGACTTGTTCACAGATGAAAAATCAACCGCAAGAAAGTACGGGTCACTGGTGGTAGCAAGTAGGTGAGTTTTTATGTCCGTTCTTGGCAAAATGCAGAGAACGTACCAGATGGCAACCCTGGGTAAATCCTCCTAATTTTTTCAGAACTCAATAAATCAAGTAAATTATTGCACTGGAGAGCAAACAAAACACGTATCAAATATCCTTCTTTTAGCAAATGAGATATCAAGTAGTAGAGACTTCTGAGGAAGGAGGATGTGTAACTTGCAAACTCCTTCGTTCTGGTTCTAGATGGATGATGGCAGAGGTTTCAGAGCCATCTGTACTCAAAGAGCCTCATAAAGAAAACCAGGGAGATGTGGCTTCCTGCATATCCTTTGCTCTTTCTAATGTCTCAGCTAAAAAGAATCTTCAGTGTGCTCGGTGCCAGCCCCTTCCTAATGAGGTTGGCTTCAACATAAATCTATTAGTGATCAGCTTAGTGTACGAAATAAGGATCTTTCTGTTTACGAAACTAGAACTAGAATTATTATTTTGCAGATGAGTGCTTGGCTTGAGACAAAACTACGAGGCATTTTTACTGAGAAGCTTTATTCTCCCCTCCTTCCCCCCAGCCCTGGCTTTTCTAGTACCCAGCAAAACTGAAGAGACTCCTGAGGACACACAATACCTGCCCAGTAGAGCAGCCTCAGTGCTGCATGCTCCAACACCCCAGGCAGACCATTTGGAGAGGGACATGCCCTCCACCCTGGAGCAGAAGAGCTCACCTGTCACTTTCACTGTGATCATCATCCCTGGGAAAAGGAGCCAGCGCTCCTGATGAGAGCAGTGAGATCCTATCTTACCTCTTACAAAGAGCTCGGTGGAACATTTCTCATCACCCGCTGTCACATAGTACTCTGAATCATCTGTCAGTGCACAGTTATTGATGAACATGATTCTTTGGCACCCTTTGTGTTCAAAGATGTATCTGTTTTAAATAGGAGGAAGATAAAGAGAGTCGGTGAACTTGATTTTATTTTCTTTATTGCCAGCAAATTTGGCTTATGCCTTGGTAATGTTAAAAAGTCAGGGATATAATTTTGATCTACCATTGACATAGCATTCTTACACAGTTTAATATCAAACAAAAAGCCAATATTCATATTTTTAATACACAGTACACATATATACATACACATACTATTTAATTTGTTATAATATTCTTTTACGTATGGTTTTTATTTCAGATACAAATCAGTACTTACATATTTGCTGTATAATTTTTTTAACTCATTGTTGGAAACTAGGTCTGGCTGAGGGCATCAGAGAGATTTTTAACTCTTTACATACTTTAAATGACCAATTCATGTACTTTCTATGTGGGCAGAGACTTGGTCTTATTCACTGGCATGTATTTTATTCATTGCCTAGCCCAGTGAATCAGTAGATTTTGTTGGGAGAGCAAATGGTTACACAGTGTAAGCAATAACATGACCTCACACTAATATATGCAGTGATTCCACAGAATGTGATGTTCTCTTGAATGAGCTTGAAGACTGATGTTAACATATCACAGTTACCCTCTACTAAAGAAAGAAGTTCAGGATTTGGAAACTGAAAACTAGAAACGAAGAAGATGATAAAATTTAATTTTCTGTGACCTAAATCATGGAAGAGCACATTAGGAGATTATAATAGACAAGAAAAAAAAATATGTGATTTGGGAATTTATCAAATTAAAGCCTTTACAAACAATATATTAGATAGTATTTTCTAGATAAAGATGAATTAAAATTGCAGTTTTGATAAATTCAGGCACCTTCAACAGATTTTTAAACCAGGTATAAATGTTAACATCACAAAGTCACTCTATTGGCATGACCACATTAAGAAATTGGAAACCACCTAATTTTATTCCAGAAGTGACAGCTTTCCAGGATTAAAGTCTTCTATAAATGTACACGTGGCCCCTGTTAACTTAAAAAAATATATTGGAGTTGAAAATCTCTCAGGCTGAGGAGGATCTCTGTCAAGTAGTTTCATAATGGACTAGAGATACCATCAGACATCAGGGATTAGTCTGTCTTTAGTCTGTCTCCATCTGGGAGAGGGCCAAGAAAGAATAAAACACAGGCTAGATCCACATTTCATTCAATCACAATGTGAAATAGTTCTACTTCGGTGCAATATAGTAAATGCTCAAAACAGTTCCTGAACTGAACATAGAAGGTATTCGGTCATTACTGAATATAGACGCTATTCTGGAAAACAAAAGTCATTAAATTGTAAGGTATGCTTCCAAGCTGCCATATCCAACATGTATCTCAAATTATTGTTTAATTTTGCTTTCGAGAATTTGGAGAAGTTTGGCACTTCTCTGATATAATGATAACAAACCTGTGTTAATACAAAACCATCACCGGGAATCACCTGAAATAGTTTGCATAGAATTAAATATAAAATAAGGTTTAGTTTATATAACACCATAGTTTGAATGGTTCCAAAATAAATTAAATGTGACTTAAATTTTTACCCTCTCTACATATTATAAAAATATAGCTAAAAATCGTTTTATTCTCAGAAAATTAAGTCAAACGACTGTTTATTTATTGCATAATTATCACTGATTCCTTGCAAAGCCCACTTACTTTGTACTTGGCCGGATTTCTTGACCATTTTTATACCATTTCACCTCCAACTTGGGATCCGCCAGCTCGACAACAAACCTCACTCTGCCTCCTTTATCAACCTGATACGCAGGATCAAGAATTTTTGAAAAAGCTGGTAAAACAGAAATAAAAGTATGTTAATATGTATGTCATGAATGTAAACAGCCACCATGAGAATCTAAAAACAAACAAAAAACAGTGTCAGAGAAGAAAAAAATCAGGAATCTTCCAAATTATTTTTCATATTTAGAATTCAGTGCTTATCTATATACAATAAAATGGTTTAAAAATGGAAAGAGAACCCACATTTTTTGGAACAAACATAAGAAAAGAACAGTTGAAGAAACTTTAGAAATGACCTGATTCTTCAGGGAATGTCTAATATAGAGCATCACAATGAAACTGAACTTGGGAACATGTTTATTCTCCTAGCGTGATGACTGTCAGGGTTATGGGCGTTATTTCTGCACTTCCAAGTCACAGACACTCTTTATCATAGAATTTATAACTACAGTGATTCATAAAATCAAATTAGATACCTTTGACTCATTAAAGCAGTAGGCTTCTCAAAGTTTTTGTACTGTGAAAACCTGCCCAAATAGTGGCATTTTAAAACACCCTTTGCATACATGGTTAGGAACTCAGGATTTCCAAACATTTTAAATAACATAGAACAGAGTAACTAAAAAAACTATCTTGGCCGGGCGTGGTGGCTCAAGCCTGTACTCTCAGCACTTTGGGAGGCGGAGGCAAGAGGACTGCCTGAGCTCAGGGGTTCGAGACCAGCCTGAGCAACATGGCTAGACCTCCTCTCTACAACAAATAAAAAAATTAGCCAGACGTAGTGGCACATGCCTGTGGTTCCAGCTACTTGGAAGGCTGAGGTGGAAGGATCACCTGAGTGCAGCGGGTCAAGGCTGCGGTAGCCATGAGCGTGCCACCGCACTCCAGCCTGGGCAACACAGTGGGACTCCAACTCAAAAAAATATATATCTTTAAAGTGTCTTCAATGGGAGGTAGTTAACTTGTCTTTTTAAAAGTTAATGATTTTTCTGATTTTAAAGATAATAATTCTCTTAAGACAGTTTGGAAAACAGATACAACTGTGAAATGCTTCATGCTGCCATGTTTATTTTTCTTTCATTCCAGCCTCATTAAACGACTGCTTAGACAAGCTCACTTTATTTTTAATAAACCAAATGCCAGTTTTTAAAAAAGTCACCTCTCACGTGCCTTAAGACCTGAATTCAGGGCTAAGTGGTTAAGAATAAGAAAGCCAGCCAAGGGAAAGAGATTCACCTGGCTCTCCCTGGGGCCCGCCCATGTCTGTGACAGCTCCCAAAAATGTAACTCCAGGAGTTCTGGGTTAGTGGGAATGGTTAGGCCACACACAAAAAAACAAGACGGAACCCTTCTGCATTTCTGAGGCCACTTCTCAATCCGTTTACAGGGAAATATAGAAGGGGGAAAAGGATAGATTTAAAAAAAAAAAAAGAGCTGGCGAGTCTTTATATCATATCTGAACATCCACAAAATAATAAACAGTAATAGAACCAGTATCCCCCCCAAAACAAACCAGTAACCAAAAATGATCAAGTATATGAAACACTGAAGAGCTAAGGAGACGTTTAAAATGCATTCCTCCGCACTTAATAGAAAGGTGTTGACAAGCCCCACAGATCGAGAGCGCAGGTGCGCGCCCGTAAACCCAACGCTTTCGAAGGCCCAGGAGGGAGGCTCGCTTGAGACTAGGTGGTTGAGATCCGCGCGGGCAATGAGTGAAACGCCGCCGCTACCAAAAACATAAATAATAATGATAATGATAAAATGAGCCGGGCATACTGGCGCGCGCCTGCCGTCCCAGCTGCTCGGGAGGCTGAGGCGGG